CTTATATATTTATGCATAATTTATGGATATTTGACCTTAAATTTAGTGTTATTGATGTATTTATGAAATTTGTACGTGTTTCCCTAGTGTGTCCAATCTTTTCCATATTTTTCGTTCGTATCCATGTGTTTCAAAAGCATATTTGTATCCATATACAAATAAGTTTGTAATTAATTTCAAAGAACCAAAAATCCAAAAAAAAAAAAAACAAAAGTTATCTGTCAATAGGTGTTGAACTCTTGTTCTTAATTGTTAAACCTTAAGGGTAAATAAGTAAACAAATAAACATGAAGGTTGAATTATTGGAACTTGACTTAAAAAAAAAGAAATTCTCTTTATATTATAAATTATTTTATACTATGTATTATACCATACCACACACACACACACACACTCACACAAATATATAATAGTCGGGTTTATAATTAGGTATGAGGAACGGGTACCCGTGTCAAATAAAATTGGGTATCGGGTATCAGATACCCTAAAGTCAAGACCCAAACCCTATTGGGTTTTGATAAACGGGTTGGATACCCAAAAATTCTCGCAAAATTGCCATCCCTAAGTACAAATACAAATATGTACCCAAATTGGGCTTGATGCTCTATTTGGGAAGAGTGAATACATTGGCTGTCATTTTTATGAACCTTGCATATTTGCATTTGCGCTCTTCCCAAATGGAGCCTAAGGCTCAGTTTAGAAGGAGTACAAATACAAATGTGTATAATACAAATACATATAAAATAATACAAAATACATGGATTTGAACTCTTCATATTCGTATTTGTACTCCTTCCAAAAAGGAATACAAATACAAATATGTACAGTATAAATACATACAAAATAATATAAAGGGTAAATTGCTGAATCCTCCCCTGAAGTTTCTGTCCATTGCTGAAACCACCTCCCTTGAACATTTTAATATAGTTGCAAGTAGACCCCATTTAGAATCCTCTAACATGAGGCACAAAAATATCCAAAATACCCATGCAATTATGAGTGAGGCTGGTTTCTATGGAAAAAACAATACAAACTTTATGAATAACAAAAAAAAAAGTTTATAGTTGAGAAAATTTGGAAAAGAACAAATCAATTTTGGAAAAGAGATTGGAAGGGTTTGCAGTATTGATTGATATGAAAAGAAAATTTGGAAAATAAATATTTTTATCAAAAGTAAACGCATAGGTATGTTGGACATTTTATGTCTTTTATTAGAGAATTTTGGCAGCAAGTCTACTTGCAATTATATAAGAAAGTTTAGGGGAGATGATTGCAATTACCAAACTTCAGGAAAGATTTTAGCAATGGTTAGAAACTTTAAGGGAAGGAGTGTTTCAACAATTTATCCTAATACAAACAACAAGGTTTTGCAAGTTACATATTTGTATTTGTGCTCGTTCCAAACCTAGCCTAATCAACTATTCACGCCATGGGATCAATCAATTTTCCCCATGATAACGGTAAAGTGTATGTGGCCCACAAATACCCAATCTTTCACTTGCATTAATTACTTTGTTGTGGAGCAAAATGATTTGTCGCACAGCCCATGAAACACCTATCAAGTGTATATGCCCCACCTCAACTATTAAGTATATATCTCCCCAAGGTTTAAAGTATCATGTGTCTGGAAAGTTACAGTTTTAAGTGATATTTTGTGATATGTAGATATAAATTCAAATAAAAAATATAAATTCAAATAAATCTTAATAAATATATTAATAATAAAAAATATAAATTTTATATGATGATAAATAAGTAAAACTTACAAAACCAATGGTTTATATAAAATGTGAGATATTTAAAATACAATTGGAAACTGTTGAAATGAAAAAACTAAAATATGTAATTTATACCATTTAACTTTATACTTTTTATGTAAATAGGGTCATGAATGTTGTTGATCATCGTTTAGATCAGTCTGCCAAATTTTTTGAAGGGCGGTGTTATCGAGAAATCCACTAATTTGGTTACATCAAGGTTAATGTAATAAGAATTTGGACCTTGGTTAATGAATTAATACCTTTACTTGGCGAAAAAAAAAACCCATTAGATACCACAACAATCAAAGTAACACCTCCTAAAATACAGAAATTACTTTATTTTTTTTGAAAGCTTCAATCATGTTTCATTTATTCAAGAGATTGATACAAATAGATACTAATAAGGCCAAATAAAGTTCAGAGACAAATTTTCAAGAAGAACAAAACAAAGAGATGGATGTAGGAGAATTCAGAAGAACTTCTGCAAACAAAGAAATTACATTTTTAATGTTACCCCCAACACCGCCATGCACATGGCTTATCTTCGTTCCTACCATGGTTAAACACAATGTATTAAAAACTAACCTAGAGGCCAAATTGCTCTGGGTCACGGGTTCGATCGGTCGGGTCAAATGGTTCAGATCGTACCAGGTCATTGCACACACACACACACACACACACACACACACACACACACACACACACACATATATATATATATATATATATATATTTTAGCAATGAATAATATATAAATATGTTTTAGATATGTTATATGTTATATTTTATATTTAATTTATATTTTCTAATTTAGTTTTTAATTTTTTATTTATAAAAATATTAAAAATTGCAATTTGAGGCCAAAAGAGGGTTTTTTTCGGAATGCATAGATTTCGAAAAGTTACCCAAAATTAAAAAAAAACACCTTAACCGGACATTGGAGTGCAAAGTTATCGCCTCCAAAAGTTTTGCATGCATTGAATGTGCAGCCTGTTTCCCAATGATTGAGTTGAACAGTTCTAGACCAAGTCAACAATTTTTGACTATCTAATGGGTCTTGACTGAACCGGACCCGGAATCTTGGCTGCATGATGGTTCAAATGGTTCGATCGGCCAAGTCAAGGATGGGTTGAAAACATTGGTTAAACGAACCACCTCCTGATATTTTATATCTAAACCCTAAATTCTAAAATTAACGTGTAAAATCAATGTTCAAAGAACTGGAGAAGAGAGAGAGGTTCACAGATTAGAGGTTCGACCAAGGTTGAACTGGAGGTCGAACCGTGATGACGTATATATATATATACTACAAGTCATATAAATACTATATATAATATATTTTACAACTTTTAATGTACTTAAATATGGTGGAYGGATGGTAAGCTTCTTAATTTTTAGAACAAATGACTAGGGTTCACTTTTGACTTATATTATCTTTAGAATACGTGCATAATAATGTAATATGTATAATAAATAATCATTAATTAGTATAAGTAAAGAGGTGGATTAGTGGTAATTAAGTAATTTGTGGAAATAAGAGGTCTTGGGTTCAAATCTTATAACAACATTTTAAAATTTCACTTGTATATGAATTCGGGCAGTTTCATGAAATTGGGACTAATTCACCGGTTTTCCGATTTAATCGGCCACTCAACCGGTTTTCAATGGGCTTTGAGGAAGTCCGAATATTGAGGTATAACCAAACCGATCAAGGCCCTGGGTCACGGTTCAACCGGCCGATCTGGTCTGGTTTCTAAACACTGTGTAAAATGCAATTTTTTACATGCGGATCCAAATATTTTTCCATGCACATAACCCTATCTCTCCACCTAAAATAAAACCCAATTTTAAAAAACGGTGTTACGTTTGAAGTTAAATTTGTCCAACCAAATACGTTGAAGTCAAATAAACTGTGTGATGCTTAGTGGGATCAAAACAAGAATGGGGCACCATCCCAGCAGTGCAGATCCAGATCGACCAATCGCCAGTTTTAAAAGTTGCATTCCGACGGGCATTCAGTCAAAATTTTCATTCACGGAGCTTAACTTCAAAGCTTCAATCTAGAGGTCCTATACTCCTATTTCTGTTTGTTAAATGAAAACCCTGAGAGATAATTTGTAGGGGTGCAAATGTATCGGCCGATCCTATTTGATCAAATTYGGATTACTTTTATTCAGATCTTCGGATTGGATTGAATAATAAGATCTGATTAGAAATTGGATGGATTCAAATTACCCCTATCCGGTCTGAAAAGATACAATCAGATTGACCAATTGTATTTTTTGTTTTTATTTTATTTAAATTAGTATATTTTATTTTTCTTTTAATAATTTATTAATTAAAAAAATAAGTCAGATCAAACCCAATCCGACATGAATAATGTCAAATCCAATTAAATCTTCAGATAGGATCAGATCTAACATAAACAGTATCGGATTGAATTCGAATATACTTTCATTAGAATCTGATCCGATCCATTTACACCCCTAATAATTTGATATCTTCAAATACATGGATGGAACCACATATATCCACGACCACGCGTTACAAGAGATGAAGAGATTCTAATTTGGTCCTAATAAGGCCACGCATCAATTCCATATATGCACCACATACCACAGCTGATCTGGAATATTTTGTAAGTCTCACAAGGACTGTTGCTCGGTGTTTTGGGGGATAAAACAGTCATAAACAAAAATTCAAGGGATATAACAACCAACCCCACATGCCATCAATCCATCATGTAGCACAGGAGTTCAGAACCTACTCAACGAGATAAAGCAATAAGTCATTCAGTTCCCACTTCATCCGTTATCAAACGGCCCCTTGGCATTTCCTTATTAATGATCAATGTTTTAAAAACCAACATAGAATTGGAAACCGCTTTGGCCACTGAATTTTGAGTCAGTGGTTCAACTGTCTGGTCCTAACAAATGGCCCATTGCAATTTTAAAAAATAAATAATAAAAACTGGGTCAAGAGTGAAATGGAAACTGATTGCCTGAATGGTTTTCAGGCCAAAAGGTCCAACAGTCCGGGTCAACGTATGGTTCTAAAACCATGTTGATGATAAAGCTTAGGGTGTAGAGTAGGGTCCCTTCTGTATGACCGAAAGCCTTTTTACTCCTCACATATGCAAGAAAGCATGTGTAGGCCATGGTTTTCTCGTAATTTTTTTTCCTACTTATCATTGCCATCATCATGCTGGTGTAGACGTGTAGTTAATGAATTAAATTAGAAAATGAAATAGAATAAACGCTAGAACAAAATGATATTATGAATAAGATAATTACTAGTTTTAAACACGACCTTCAGAACTGATTTCAGAACTACGTTTACTTTCACCGGGTGTGTTCCTATTAGAGGTTCTCCTGGTTGGCACAAGTGGATTGTTCTCATCCTCATAAATGGCTGTCGGTACCTCAATCTGATTGTCCTTGAAGACAGGATGTATGTACGCATCCTGCAGGTAGTTTTTCAAGTTCAGGTTTGGTTCTGTGGCACGCTCCAATGTATCCTTCACCATTGCATCCTGTCATCATGTATAAAAGAGAAAAACCTACCAATTATAAAAGTAAATGCAACTTCAGAGTACATGTAATTACATAACAATCCATGGAAGCTATTTGTGCGAACCAGATTAAAGACTTAGACAAATGTATCACTATCTGATAAAAAAGGGGCCTTGATGTTGGTCCCAGTTACTAGGGTCTTGGGATGGGTCCCATCAGATGTTGTTTTACATTCTCATGCTGGTAAGCCTGAGATTTTATAATTGCACCAAGCAATGGCCCCTATGTATTACCACCTGATGGTTGCAAGAACTCTTTGGGATCATAAGACCATGTTTCAATGAATTTGGATCCAAAGGATTACACGCACCAACGGAGATAACATTTTAAATAGGTTGGTCTTCTTTAGTATTGGTATATAGGTTAGTCAGGCTTAAGAGAGGCATGCCTAAACTGTCATCTCTTTTTTCCAATGATAAGTATCATCACTGAGTGAAAACCAGTGGTTCGGATGCATCCTAATTGCTGTCTGGGTGAACACAGTATCAAGGCATAATCTGTGAGAGCACTGCTGAAAGACCATGCTGCATTGAAGAGTACGGAGATTGATCTGTGTGCATGGTGATAAAGGATTACTCACCTGTAATGGAAACTTCACAAATGCTGATTCAAAGCGATTTTTGCAGATCCTGTGGAACCAAATGGTCAATATAGGAAGCACAACGAGCAACGGTGTGGATAGCTCTGCATCTTTTGTGCTCAATAATCCCATCAGCAGAAGTTGTGATATTATCATCCCAATAATCAGACGCCAGTGCACATCCGGCCAGAACGCGGCTGCACTCTCATATTTCTGGTCATACACATTGATGATCTTGTACAAGAGAACAAAAAAAAAAGGATCAATGAAGAATGGTTGTTCAAAGATATTTTCAATACAAAATTGGTTGTGATATATTCTTGACAGTTCTCAATGGATAACATTGATATTTTACGAGGTAATAAAAGAATTAGGTTTGTCAAGTGTTAACAAAAATGTAACTAAACTTGACATTATTTAAATACTAAAGCAGACAAAACAGAAACTAGAAGTACACAATGATCTAATCAGCATATATAACAAACATAATTTAAACCTGTGAATTTGGTAATATCAGAATATAAGCATCCCATATCCATGACCAATTGAGCATTCTACACCATATCCAAAAATTATTACTAAGCATCACAGTATAAACTCTTGGCAACAGATTAAGTTTGGAGAGTGCCAACTGGTAAGCCTTCTATATATGAAAATTTATCAAAATGCAGCAAGTATCAGTGTATTTGCACTAACAACTTTTTTTTTCTTCATTGGTTTATATGCACTTAGGTGCCATTGCTTAGTGCAATGGTAAAATCTTGGTCTGACAAGCATGACAATATGGGCTCAAGTCTGAGAACAACCACTTTGTGAGAAAAAATAAATAAATAATAAAAGCCAAAGCTTAGGTTAAAGTTGGAGTATTCAGAAATAAGAAAAAGAAAAGAGGAGGTTTTGTTGAGAGTCTATGGTGTGTTACTGTTCACACCCTGAAATATTTTACTTAACATATTGAAGAAAATTACAAATGGACCCTTGAATAGGCACCCAAATAAAAAAACATGAAAGGACATAAATGCCCTTACACTCTCAACACTCCCCCTCAAGCTGAGCATAGATATTTGTCATGCCCAGCTTGTTCAAATTGTTGTAAAGCTTTGATTTGGAGACACCTTTAATAAGACAATCAGCCAATTGATCTTGAAACCACATAAAAGGTAAACAAATCTCTCCACTGGCAACTCTTTCTCTAATGAAATGTCGATCAACCTCTATATGCTTTGTACGGTCATGTTGAACAGGATTGTGGGCTATGTTTTTGGTAGCTTGATTGTCACAATATAATATCATTAGAGTATCAATCTGCACTTCCATTTCTGTCAACAAGTTCTTCAGCCATAACAATTCAGAAAGTCCATGAGCCATAGCTCTGTACTCTACCTTTGCACTAGATCGAGCCACGACTAATTGTTTCTTACTTCTCCAAGATACAACATTACAACCCACCAAGGTACAATAGCTAGAAGTAGACTGCTTATCATTAATAGAACCTGCCCAACTATCATGAGAATGAGCCTCTACCTTTAAATGCCCATGATTATTATAATACAACATCCCTTTTCCTAGACCTCTCTTCAAATAGGCAAGTATTCTATTCACTGCTTGCATATGAGATGATCTAGGCTTGTGCATATATTGGCTGACCATACTCGCAACATATACTATATCTGGTCTAGTCAAACACAAGTAGAGAAGGCGACCGACAAGTCTTTGATACATAGCTTTGTCAGGAAGGACATCTCCATCATCAACTCCCAACTTATGATTGGGATCTGTTAGTGTTGCCTAAATAAGGGTAGAATGGTCATTTGTATGTAAATTAGAAAGGCTAATACACCCTGGTCGAATGAAGAGAACAGATTTTCTCTCTTCAGTTCGAACCAGGTTTTCTCCCCTCATTCTTCCTCTTTCTTTCCTCTCTTCTCTTCTTCCTTCTTTTTCTTTTTCTTCTTTGATTAATCTGAAGGCTACAGGTTTACAGATCTGAACTTTATTATGGTATCAGAGCTATATTAGATTGGTTCGGATCTGTACAGTCTCTGCGCGCCCTAGTTGAGGTTTTTGCAGATTTCTTTTAGGGTTTTTGGAGTTTGTCAAAAAGGCTGAAAAGGAGTGGTCGTTTTCTCCTTCTAGAGGTTTTAATGCCTCTAGCTGAGTGTGGTGTGGTTGTTTCAGGTGGCTGGTAGGGCACCCTCTGATGGACCGACGAGGGTTGCTACAGTAAAATCGTGATTTGTGTTCAGGCATGTGGTTCAGACAGGTGATCGAAGGTAATGTGGAGTGCTGTGTGATGTTCTTGTGTGTGGTGGTCTCTTGTGAGGTGCCGAAAGAGGAGGAGACTGTTTAACTACCATTGCTGAAATCTGTGACAGTGGATGTTTCAGCAATGGTCAGCCGCAAATGTTGTGGGATAATGGTGATTGCTCAACTATAGGAGTGTAGTGTGGTGGGTGTTGGTGAGTTGAGGTAACATATTAGTGTGAATAAAAGCAGCCATGGGAGACAGCAATGAATACAAATCTGTTATGGTCCCTCCTAACTACTTGAATGTGCAAATGATCTCCATCAAACTGAATGGAGAAAATTACGTCCCTTGGGCCAAATCCGTTGAAGTGTTTCTCAGAGCTAAGAAGAAAGTGAAACATGTGAGAGAAGAAAAACCTCTAGTTGAATCCGAAGAATACAATGATTGGGAACAAGAAGATGCACAGATTATGACTTGGTTATGGAACAGCATGGAACCCAAGATTAGTGTGAACTTTATGTTCTTAGACACAACAAAGGAGATTTGGGATCATGCAAAGAAACTTTACTTAGGGCAAGACAATACCACTAGGGTATACCAACTCTATCAAGAGTACTTTAATCTGTAGTAAGGTAATCAGAGTCTTGAGGAGTACTATGCTAGTTTAAGGAATCTTAGGAATAAGTTGAATGTGTATCACCCTCTTACATCAGATGTCAAAGTTCAGCAACAACAGAGAGAACAACTTGATCTTACCAGATTTTTGGTGGGATTGAAATCTGAATATGAACCGGTGAGAGCCCAAATTCTGGGTGGGTCTTCCCTCCCCTCTCTTGAAGAGGTGTTTGCCCGTCTCTGGAGGACTTCCATTGGACATCCGGAAAATCCTACCATATCAGACAGGTCTACTTTTGCAGTGACAAGGGGGGGAGGTCGTGGTGGTAGAGGTGTTGCTCATCAGAGTCAGCCAGGCCGTGGTAGTAGAGGCGGACACATGTAAGTCATGGTGGTGGGCGTGTTGGAGGCCGAGATTCAGGGGGAGCTCGTGGTAGAGGACGTAATAATGGTCCGAGGAGGTGTACACATTGTGGTATAGATGGACACACTGTTAAGTTTTGCTATGATCTGCATGGTCCACCTTCATCTTGGGCAAATCATGCAGTGGYTAGTGGTGGTATGAAACAAGGGAATCAACAAACCAGTCAAACACCTACATCTATAGGTGTCTCTAGACAAGAGATGAGTATTTCACGTATTGAATATAAGCAGTTAATCCAGGCAACTTCTCAGCCGAGTACAATTACACTTGCCCACTCAGGTATGGTTTGTCTGGCATCCAAACCCTCCCATTGGATCATTGATTCTGGAACTTCCGATCATATGACTGGGACTCCAGGTGTGTTCTCTTCACTTTCTTCATCTTCTACTACCCATACTGTCACCCTTGCTAATGGTTCCACTTCCCCCATGAGTGGTATTGGTGATGTTAACATTGGTTCACTATCTTTGTCTTCAGTCCTATATGTTCCCAAATTTTCTTTTAACCTTATGTTTGTTAGTAAATTAACCAAGTCTCTTAATTGCTCTATCACTTTTTATCCTTCACCTTGTGTATTTCAGGATTTCAAGACAGGGATAAAAATTGGTGGAGGGCGTGAAACCGGTGGACTGTATTATCTTGATGGTGGTGGTGGTTCATCAACTGCTCTTCAGTCATCCTTCTCCAGTGGTGGTGGTTCATCTCTCTCCCCTCTCAAGTGGCATTGCAGACTTGGTCATCCGTCTCTTAAAGCTCTAAAGCAACTTGTTCCATCATTGAATCGTCTTTCTACTTTAGATTGTGAGTTGTGTCAGTATGGGAAACATCATCGGGTTTCCTTTAGTCCTAGAGTCGAGAGTCGTTTGTTGAGTCCTTTTTCTTTGGTCCATTCGGACATTTGGGGTCCAAAGAAAATAGTGTCACACAATGGATACAAATACTTTGTTATTTTTGTTGATGATTATTCAAGGATGACATGACTTTATCTTATGAAAGAAAGAAGTGATTTATTTTCTATTTTCCAAAAAATTCATGCTGAAATCCGCACTCAATTTGGTATCCATCTTAAAATTCTACGTTCAGATAATGGTCGAGAATATTTTTATACACCATTTCAGCAATATTTAGAACAACACGTTATTATTCGTCAAACCTCTTGCTCTTACACCCCTCAACAAAATGGGGTAGCTGAGAGGAAAAACTGCCATCTCTTAGAAACCACTTGGTCCCTGTTGCACCAAATGAATGTTCCCAAACGGTTTTGGAGTGATGCTGTGCTTACATCCTGCTTTCTTATTAACTGAATGCCTATGTCCATCATTGATGGTCAGTCTCCCTTCTCGGTTTTGTTTCCTACATTGTCCCCTTTTCCTCTTACCCATCGGGTTTTTGGATGCGTTTGCTTTGTTCATAACCTTGGCCCTGGACTAGACAAGTTGGATGCACGATCTACAAAGTGTCTTTCTTGGCTATTATAGGACCCAGAAAGGGTACAAATGTTACAGTCTCAATTCTCGATGTTGTTCTTGTGTGTCTCGATGTAACCTTCTTTGAGTTGGTTCCTTTCTTTTCTGGGTCAGATGTCTCTTCTCCTTCCACTTCTCCTTCCACTCTCCTTCCGCTTCCAGCTCCTGTTCCGGACCCCATTCCTCTTGTTCTAGCTGTGACTAAGTCTTCATCTCCGATGCCACTTCCTCCTGCACGACCACCTATCCATCAAGTGTATACGCATCGACATGCACCGGCCCCTCTAGCTTCTTCACCGTTGACGGATCCAGCAATAGTTTCCGTAGCACCCTCACACCAATGTCTGATCTTGACCTTCCCATTGCCCTACGGAAAGGTAAACGCAGTTGTACCCTTCATCCTATCTCCAATTATGTTTCTGTTTCTCACCTCCCTCCTTTCCATCAACAATTCATTTCATTGTTATCTTCTAGCTATGTT